ATGAAGATGAAGATGAAGATGAAGATGAAGATGAAGATGAAGATGAAAATGCAGAATGAGATGAAGATGAAGATGAAGATGAAAATGCAGATTGAGATGAAGATGAAGATGAAAATGCAGATTGAGATGAAGACACACATAAACATAAAAAACTATAAAGACAAAGATACAGAGGAAGAAGGTGATAGGGATACAAAGGAGATACAACTGAAGAATGTGTGATGTTATGTTATGGTGTGTTATGTTGTTTAATATTATGTTATTGTACGTTATGTTATGCTATGAAATATTATGTTATTATTATGTACTAAGTTGAACTCCCCTCCACTTAAACTTTAATTAGGCGCATGGGGTCGTGGCCATTTCAAGTTGAAAAAAAAATGCCTTGGAGTGCTTTGAGCGTGCTCGCGCTGTCTAGCTTCCTAACTCCCCGCAGGGTACGTAAATAAGTCACTGCCAGAACATCGGCATGTACGCATGTGTCGCTTCTCTTTTAAGTCCTGACCCCATGCGACCACTTACGTAACATTTTTTGGCGTAGGTAAGTCGTTATTTTTTATATAAGTTTGAAGTTAAAGTTATGCTTTTCTTTCTTAAAGTTAACTACAATAAAGAGCTTTAATATTTATGACAATATACATTTCGTTTTATTTGAAGTCGGAATTATGTTTTTATTTTTTTAAGTTAACGATAATAGAGTACTTCAATATTTTTGTTAATACACTACGTTTTTTTTATTATGAAAACTCTTTTTTCAGCACTTTTATTGGGGTCACTGGGGACCCCATGCGACTAATTGTGTGATTTTTTTATGCTCCTAATTAAGGGTTAACCCATTCCAACTAATGTTATTTCACCTCAACTCAACTAACAAAAAATATCCTTAATTTTAGCGGTTGAATTTCAACCGCTGGGCGAACACTAGTAATCTTAAATCTATAAGTATTATAAAAATATAGTACAGTATAGTAGATTATATTAAAACAATTAATAAAGTAGTGATTCTGCATTTTTAAATTAATTTAATTAAGTTTTCCTGTATTTCCAAGTAACTTTTTTTTGATTTTTGAAAATGGCGTGAAAGTAAAATATTCTGTATACCATACTCTTGAAAATGACACCAGAATTGAATGTGTGCTTGTAATAGAACCAAAGTTATCACCAGTGTTGCCGCGAATTATTTTTAGTGGTAGCCAAATTCCTTTTTAAAAGGGCTAAAAAGAGCAAAAACAATTGGTTGTGGCTAAAACTGGTAGCTAAAATTTTTTACTTACATATATGTATGTATATAAAGGGAAAATATACGACACCATTTTCAATAAGTAATGGTATAGAAAAATAATGAACTCTGAAAAAAGCTAATATTTTATCGAACCAAAAACCTTTTTGTATAACTATATACGACACCAGGAAATATAGGACCTTAGCTTGCTGGCTCCATCAAGGGATTGTACCATCAGGCTCGAAGCATATAACATACCAGCTCACTGGTACAATATTTATTTCTTTACAATTGAGGACCAAAAATAAAATAAAATAAAACTTTTTAATATACAAGGCTTTTATAAATGGACTAAAAAGTAGAAAATAATATTTCTTAGTCCCACAGAATTCGTTTTGATAACTTTTGATTTTGAAATTTCAGCAAAAGTGATTATAAACAATTAATGACATTGAAAACGAAAAACGTGGAGCGCATGTAGTACAAAGCATTCGATTTCATTGACAATAGTCCAACTACTAGGGTTCGAACGATACTATCGATATTGAGTAAGTATCTATACTGAGGGTATAAAAATGAGTACTTTAATATATTCTCCAAGAAAGCGTAAGAGGATAATTGCGATCCCGTGCCAGCAGTTTTGTTTTTGCTACATACCAATTTCTCTCATTCCTCTCATTTCGCTCACTTAATTTTTTTTGCCGTATCTTGTTTTTGTATTTGACATAAACTTTTTCTGCTTGCTACCTATGCAAGAATGATAGAATACAAGATTGCGCCAATCGAGCTGAGAGCAACTGGCCGTGACGTCAAAAAATACCAGAATAAGAGAGCATAGACGAATTCAATAAGAAAAAGAAGAAGAATCGAACAGCTGGGGCGAAATTGAAAGGTTTGTTTACAAAGTGCATAATAAATCGCGGATTTACGGAATTATTTATCGTCAATTAGTGAAATCAGTAACCAAGCTTTTAAAATAAAGGAAAACCCCCTACTCCGCTATACATATAATTACTTTCATTATTTAGCTACTTTTCCGGCAGCTGCAACAAACGCTGGCCCAAGCCTGCAAATTGTTGCCAGCAACTGACCCGCTGGCTGCCCACTGGCATTTGTTCAACTACTCCAAAATGCACTTTGTAAACAAACCTTTTGGGTGTAAGCCACATTAAGCGGCTCATCTGGATGAAATGAAAAGGCTGTTAGATGTAATGCAGCAACGTGCTCTCGATGTTGAACATCAGTTCAAAGAAAAGTCAAATGAGTTGCAAATGGCGCAGCTTAACATACGCCAGTTGTCGGATAAGGCCAATGTAAACCAAGGCCGCAATCGGATAGAGACCTCGACGCAGACGCAATTTATGTAAGAGCAACAGATTAGAGACTTACCATTAAGTTAGAAGTAGAAGTGCATTTGAAGATGTTTACATTATTATGTTTACGCATTTCTTACAGGCTATGGTGCAACAATTGACGTATGCCAAAGAAAGGAATTTATGATGGTCACAAATATATTGGCAAAAACATAGCGAGTGCATATGCCAAGTTGGAAAAATTGACAATGCGTGAGTATAAAATGTATAGGTGTCCTTAATTATAAATATTACTTTACCTTTTCTTTTGCAGTGGCCAAAAAGAAGAGTCTTTTTGATGATCGACCGCAATAGATTCAAGAATTGACTTACATCATGGTGTATGCGTTACAATCTAAATTAGCCAGGATGGGCACCGACTTCAAACAGATACTCGAAGTGCGTATAGAAAATCTCAAACAACAAAAAGCGCGTCGGGATCAATTCGGGCAGTCACCAATTGCTGCTAGCACTGTTCGCTAGATTACAGCGAAACGGCTCCTTGCTGTTAAGCGAAGAGAATACGGCCGTGAGCATTGACATGGCCGCAAGTGATACAACACCATTGCTGGGTGAAGTCGGAGGTAGTGGAATACAGACGCAGCAGCAGATTGCATTATATGATGACTCCGATAGTTACGTGCAACAGCGGGCTGAGACTATGCAGAACATTGAATGTCGAGCTAGGCGGTATATTTCAACAATCAGCACATATGGTTAAGGAGCAAGAGGAGACTGTGGAGCATATCGATACAAACATACAAGATGCCGAATTGAACATAGAAGCAGCGCATGGTGAAATATTGAAGTACTTCCAAACTGATGATAAAAATCTTCTCAGTACTGATATTATTTTTCATATTCTTGGTAGTTTTCCTTACATAATAACGAATATGTTTGTGACACGGCAAGATTTTAACAAGTTCAGAGACGCGGTCTTAAAGTTGTGGGTTTTTAAATACATAAATACATAATATC